GGAGAACGGAGGAGAAGAGATGGCGGTGTGGTCATGCCCCCTGGGGGTGCTTTCTCGCTTTCTCTGTCTCTCTCTACGGGGAGTACACATGCCCGAGAGCAAAAGCCTGAAAAATTGAAAAGCGTGCGAAACAGCTCACAGAGAGGAGAGAGGGCGGCTCTCGTAGCTGGATTTGGTCCAGGTGGACGAGGTGGACAGCATGCCACACCCCTGCCCGTTCGTGGGGATCAGCCGCGGCCCCCCAGCATCACTGTGCTTATCTCCTGCAGGCCCCCAGAGCGCTGTGAGGGACCGTGACTTCCGACCCGGGGCACGCCACTCGCATCCGGTTCGGCGACAGCGCGGCCAGCAACTTCCCCAAACGGCGTCTCCTCGTGAGAGCCACGGGCCAGCGACCGGCCGCGGCGCTCGGCCATGCCGTGACTAGGGCGCTCGAAGGGACCGGCGTCCGGTGTCCACTGCGGGCTGAGTGCAGCGTGGGACCGGCAGGCCCGTCCAGCGGGGGCTCCCCGGTCAGCACGAACGGGGCAGAGTCGCCCCTGTGCCGGGCCATGGGAGGGTATTCCACTCGACGCCTGCCTGCCCGGGGCTGGGCTGTCTGGTGGACACGGGGGTGGTCACGCCCTGAGCAGGTGCAGGTCTGGGGACACAGAGGCACAGGAGGGGACCCCTGCTGGGCTGAGTACCCCACCTCGGGGCCGAGCACACCCCACCTCGGGGCCGAGCACACCCCACCCGAGTCCCACCTGCCCATGGCTATCTGGTGGACGCGGGGTGGTCTTAATGCAGACCCCAGACAAGGAACCTGGGCAGCCTCCGCCATCCAGGGACGCAAGGAAAAGGACCAGGCCCCTCTGTGGCAGCTTCCAGAAAGCACCGGGCTGGCGGAGTCCTGGACCCTGTCCCACAGAGACCCAGGGGCCTGTCCCCGCCGTGGAGCTGCAGGGTCATGATCGCATGTTGTCTGAAGCCCGTCCGTTCACGGCCAGCCACAGCCGGCAGGGAAGCCAGGCGGGACACGGCCACCCCGTTCACGGTGGCCCAATGGTGGCCGCGTCCGGACGGCCCAGAATGTGGGCTCGCACTGCAGGCACCATCCCGGGACAGCACGGAGTGACCGGGACAGCACGGAGTGACCGGGACAGCACGGAGTGACCGAGAAACACAGGAAGGACGTGGAGGCTCAGAGCGGGACGGAGCTTCCGGAATCTCTCCCGGGGCCGGCGCCCCTCCGTCCCGCCGGCTCACGGGGCGCCCCCCGAGGCTGGCCTCACTTCTTGCACCGTCAGCACCTCCTCCTTCTCGCCTTTGCCCGGGCTGGGCGGGAACTCCTCCCAGAAGACCTGCGGGGAGATGGCGGGAGGCGAGACTCCGTTCTTGTTTTGTGTTTAAAAAAATGATTTCTGTACTTTTATTTATTAGGATGATTTCAATTTGCTGTAGGTCTTATGTGTTCCCAAGAGGGAGATCTCAAGAAATAGAGAGAAAGAGAGAAAGCAAGCCTCTGCTAAAGATCAGGGACGGGCCCAGCCGTGTGATGCTGGAAGCCATAGGGAAGCCGAGGGTTCAATTCCCGGGTCCCCCGGACACCCAGCGTGCGAGAACCCACAGTCCTGGCTGGAGGAGGCTCACGGCGTGAGACCACATAGAGAGTGCTGGCTTCCCTGTCTGTCTGTGTCTTTTATCAAAGGAACAAAGAGAAACTACAGCTCTAAAACAGGGGCCGGCAGGTGGCATGGTGGTTAAGGCGCTGGACTCCCTCGTGGCCGACCAGGGTCAAGTTCTGGGCCTGGCGGCTTGCTTTCTCACTTTCCCTTTCTCTCTCACTCTCTCTGTCTCTCTCTAGTCAACTTCAAAAAAATAAGTAATTAAAATAATGACAATCAATAAACATAAAAATAATTCTTTTAAAAAAGATGGATAAGATGAAGTAAAATAATTCTTAAAATAAATAAATAAATAAATAAAGCAACTGGGACCAGCAAGTGGCGTGGAGGTTGGGGCTCTCGACTCCCACATGGCTGACCACGGTTCGAGTCCTGGACCTGGCAACTGGCTTTCTCACTTTCTCTCTGTTTCTGTCTGGTCAAATTAAAATGAAATAAATAAACTTAAATAAAATAATTCTATTAAAAAAAATTCTGAGACAAATTTCGGTGTGTAACTCTGGAGTGAAAGGTCGACAGAGGGGCCTGGCAGGTGGCATGGTGGTGAAGGCACTGGGCTCCCACATGGCCAACCACGGTTCGAGTCCTGGGCCTGGTGGCTTGCTTTCTCGCTCTCCCTCTCTCTCTGTCCCTCTCTGGTCAAATTAAAATAAATGAATGAAGTTAAATAAAATCATTCTCAGTAATTAAAAAGAGAAGGTCGCAGGACCCCGGGGCAGAGCTGAGAACAGCCGTGGGTCTGGATGGCGCTCGGAGGAGGCGGGAGGAGAGAGACACGAGTCCCAGCGTCTGAAAACAGGAAAGCTCAGGGGTCTCGGGGGCACGGGGGCAGGCAGAGACCGTGGGCGGTGAACATGGCAGACAGTGACCGGGCCTAGGGTGGGGACTGTGACCAGGATTCCCGTGTGTGTGACCCACGCTGTGGCGGAGCCCACAGGGCGGGGTCCTGGGACCTTCTGCAGGAGACCACAGAGACACTGCCCCACGAGACGCTCTCCCTATCTCTGTCTCTCCAGCCCGTCTGTTTCTCTGTCTCTCATTCCTGTGTCTCTCCTTCCCTGGGTCTGTCTCTGTCTCTCTGTCTCCTCTCTTCCTGTCTCTCTTAGTTTCTGTCTCTCCTTCCCCATGTCTGTCTCTGTCTCTCTGTCTCCTCTCTGTCTCTCTCGGTCTCTGATTATGTTCTTGTATCTCTGTCCCCTCCCTATGTCTCTCTCTGTCTCTGTCTCTCTGTCTCCTCCCTGTCTCTCTCTCCCAGTCTCCGTTTACACTCTTGTCTCTCTCTCTCTCCTCCCCGTGTCTCTGTGTCTCCGTTTCCCTCTCCCTTCCCTATGTGTCTCTCTGGCTCTCCGTCTCTCCTCCCTGTGTGTCTCCGTCACTGTCTCTGTCTCTCCTTCCCTGTAGGTGTCTCTGTCTCCCTCTCTCTTTATGGGTGTCAGTGTCCCTGTCTTTCTGTGTCTCTGTCTCTGTCCCGTCCTGTGTCTCTGTCTTTCACTGTTCCCGTCCCCTCCCACCCCGCCGTCCCCCCAGTCCCCTCCGTGTCCTCTCCGCCCTCCCGGGGCTCTGTCCCCCCACACCTAGCCGGTGGCCGGCCGCGTGGCTGTCCGAGGCTGTCCGTCAGCTTATCTCTGATCTGCGGGATCGGGGGGAACAGACGCTGCGCCCCGAGGAGCCTGGGGGACAGAGACGGGGAGGAAGGGGTCTGTGGCCGTGTCCTGGCTGGGTGGGGCCCCGCGTCACTGCAAGACAGAGAGGGCCCGAGCCCCGGAGGGCACCCAGGAGCAGCCTTCCGGAGCCCTCGGCCCGTCCCTCAGGGCGGGGAAGCCAGTGGGGGCCGTGGTCGGCCGCGGGCAGCTTCGGGGGTCCCGGATCTCTGGGGGAGCAGCCCCGAGGAGGAGCGGTTTTCTCTCCCAGGTCTGTGTGTTTCTATTTTCCCCCTGTACTTAATGTTGCTAAGTGACTAGTGCCTTTTATGTATTTCTTATTTTTTAAGAAGTATTGACTTAATTTTATTTATTCATTCATTAATTTTAATTTGACCTGAGAGAGAGAGAGAGACAGGGAGAGAGGAAGCCACCAGGTCCGGGGCTTGAACCATCGCTGGCCGTGTGGGAGTGTCCAGCACCTTAACCACGAAGCCACCTGCAGTCTCTTGTTAGTTCTCTTTAAGGAACTATTTGCTTAATTTTATTTATCATTATTTTTTAAGAGAGATTTGTTATAGGACACGTGTGCTTGCTGGAGAGACAGAGACAGGGAAAGCGAGAAATCACCCCCCAGGGGGGATGGCCACGCCACAGTCCCTTCTCCATTCTCCTCTCGGGATCTTGGGCACGCACGCACACGCGCCAGGTGTGATTTTCAAGCTGCCGGGTCTGGGACTTGAACCTCGGTGGGCCATGTGGGAGTGCAGAGCCTTAAGCACCGCGCCACCCGCCGGCCCCGCGATTACCTTTTAAAGAGGATGAAGATGGCGCCGGCGCAGACGAGGGTGCCCAGGACCACGAGCAGGTAGACGTAGAGCAGGCTGGCTTCCTGGGCTGCGGAGCCTGCAGGGACAGACGTGGTGACAGTGAGGGACGGCCTGTCCACCGCGGCCAGCTGGCGTCCCCTCCAGGCCAGGCTGCGGACGTCATCCGGCCCCCAGTCCTGGCCCCGGAGAAAAGCTGCTCAGGACACGAAGTCAGTCCCCGAGCCTGCGTCGGGGACACCTGCAGCCTCCTCTTGGAATCCGGCAGCCGGAGACGAGGAGCCCAGCCCGACAGTGACAGGGAGAGGACATCCCTGGGTGTACGGTGATTTCTGTGTGAGTGTTTGCAGTGTGTGTGTGTGCTGGCAGTTTCTGAGTGTGTTTGCAGTATGTGTGTTTGCAGTTTGCACGTGTTTTTTCAGCGTGTGTGTGTTTGCAGTGTGTGTGTGTTTGCAGCGTGTGTGTGTGTGTGTGTGTGTGTGTGTGTGTGTGAGACTATCTTTCTACCTCCGTCTCCAGAGTTGCAGGCACCAGAGATGTATCTTAACTTTGTTCTCCTTTTCTTTCTTTTCTATTTTATTTCTCTATCTCTCTTTTTTCGCCATAGGCATCTGTGCTCATGAGGGAGGGGGGAGACGAGGACAGAGGGAGACAGAGACAGAAAGCGAGACATCACCCCCTAGGGGAGACGGCCACTCTGCAATCCCTTCTCCTCCATTCTCCTCTCGGGATCTTGGGCACGCACGCACACGCGCCCGGCGTGAGTTTAAGCCACCCGGTCCAGAGTTGGAAAATAAATAAATTAAATTAAATGAATAATTGAAAATTAATGGCTCTTTGAGTACATGAGTCAAGGACTAAATGGATCATATGAATTCCACTTTTTTTAATTTATTTTTTCACATCAGAAAGGACTCGGGGAACAACTGAACTATTTGAGCAACACGCTGGGTCAGGCTAACACGCGTGTTACCAAGAAATGAGGAAGGAAGCCGGGCCGGTCCTTCGGCTGCCTGAAACAGCTCTGTCTTGGTTAGGAGGAAACACGCCAAGTCTCTTTCATTTTTTTTAGGTTGTCTTTTTTTCGCACGGGGCGCGTGCGCCTGTTAGAGACAGACAGAGAGGGAAAGTGAGAAGTCACGCCTGGAGGGACGGACACACCGCCGTCCCTGCTCCTCTGCTCTCGGGATCGTGGGCACACACGTACTCGCGCCCACATGACTGTCCAGCCACGGGAGCCGGGGCCGAACGGCGTTTGCCAGGTGGAAGTCCAGCACCTTAACCAGCACGCCACCTCCCCGCCCCCTTTCTAAGAATTTTTCTGCCGGGGCCGGTCGGTGGCGTAGTGGTTAAGGTGCTGGACTCCCACGCAGCTAACCACAGTTCGAGTCTCAGACCGGGCAGCTTGCTTTCTCACTTCCCCTGGTTCTCTCTGGCTCCCTCTGGTATACTTAAACATAATAACAAATAAAATTAAATTAATAAAGTAATTCTTGAAAAAAGAAAAAAAAGACTTTCTCTCACTTTGTTCCTGATGGAGAACATGCATGTGTGAGTGTGTGAGGAAGGGAGAGAGAAAGGGGGTACCCTCCATGACCCCCTTGCTCAGTCCTCCAGCCCAGCAGATGCTGGCATTTGCATACATGTCCAGGGAGTTTGCATACATGTCCTCACATGTGCATAGATATCCAGGGAGTTTGCATACATGCCCTGGTATTTGCATACACATCCTGATATTTGCATACACATCCTAGTATTTGCATACACATCCAGGGAGTTTGCATACATGTCCTCACATTTGCATACATATCCAGGGAGTTTGCATACACACCCTGATATTTGCATACACATTCTGGTATTTGCATACACATCCAGGTAGTTTGCATACATGCCCTGGCATTTACATGCATATCCTGATATTTGCATACACATCTAGGGAGTTTGCATACATGTCCTGGCATTTACATACATCTCTGGGGAGTTTGCATTAACATCCTGGCATTTGCATATATTCCCTTGTATTTGCATACATGCCCTGGTATTTGCATACACATCCTGATATTTGCATACCCATCCTGGTATTTGCATACACATCCAGGGAGTTTGCATACATGTCCTGGCATTTACATACATATCTGGGGAGTTTGCATAAACATCCTGATATTTGCATACATTACCTAGTATTTGCATACATGCCCTGACATTTGCATACACATCCTGATATTTGCATACACACCCAGGGAATCTGCATACATGTCCTGGTATTTACATACATATCTGGGGAGTTTGCAGGAGTTTGCATTCATGTCCTGGCATTTGCATTCACGTCCTGGTATTTGCATACACGTCCTGGCATTTGCATACATGACCAGGCAGGTTCAGACTGACCAGGCTGGGCTTCAATCCGTTGTGGTGTCTGGCTTCTCTTGAGCTCAATGGTCACCACCATATCACAGAGGTGGCCCCGACTCAGTTGTTTTTTTAAGTATAGGTTTTATTTATTTTTTTAAAGAATGATTTTATTTAACTTTATTTGTTTATTTAATTTGACCGGAGAGGGACAGAGTGAAAGAGAGAGAGAGAGAAAGTGAGAAAGCAAGCCGCCAGGTCCGGGACTCGAACCGCAGTCAGCCCTGTGGGAGTCCAGTGCCCTTAACCACCACGCCACCGGCTGGCATCTTATTATTTACTTATTTATTTATGTTGTTTTTAGTTTTTTGCCATAGGGCAGGTGCGTGCACCAGAGGGAGAGAGAGACAGAAAGTGAGAAATCACCTCCTGAGGGTGTTGGCCACACCGCAATCCCTTCTCCATTCTCCTCTTGGGATTTAGGACACACACACACACACACACACACACACGCAGCGTGAATTTCAAGCCACCGGACCCGGGACTCGAACCACAGTTGGCCATGAGGGAGTCCAGCGCCTTATCCACCACGCCACCTGCTGGGCGCCCCGTCCTGGGTCCCCTTACCGAACTCAACGGGCTGGCTCCAGGCGCTCCACTGCAGGGCGCGGGCATCCGCGGCTCTGACCCTCACGGTGTGCTTGGCTCGGGGCTCAGGGCTGGGGAAGCAGTACTGGTTTCTCCCATCGCCGGCCACGTCGATCTTCGGGGGGGGGGCGGAAAGTGAGAGGCGCGGAAAGTGAGAGGCGCTGTGCCCAGGGCCGAGCCGTCCACACCATGCCCGCCCTGGGAACCACGGAAGCCAGGCGACCGCCCTGTCGTCAACCCCGGCGTGACAGTCACGTGGACAGGCTGACTCTGGACAGAGTCCGAACCGTCTCCTCTAAGCATGGAAGCCCAGCGCGGCTCAGAAGGGCATGCATCATGCAGCGGACCTTTTGCTGTTATCTTCCAAGGTGTTGCATGGCGTCTGCACCCACGGGAGAGAGACAGAGGCAGAGACAGAGACAGAGACGGAGTGTGAGAAAGCACCCCCCCACACACACACACCACCCACACACCACCCATGGGGGGTGGCCACGCTGCAACCCTAACGCATTTCTTTCCTGGGGATTCTGGGCATGCATGAACGCTACGCCAGCTCTGAGACTCAAACCACAGGCGGCCACGCGAGAGTCCAGCGCCTTGGCCACCGCGCCACCTGCGGGCCCCTCGTTTTTGTTTTCAAAGGTGCTGTATGGTGTGTGCACTCGCCAGAGAGAGACAGAGACCGAGAGACAGAGCCAACATGTGAGAAAGCACCCTCCCGAGCCATGGCCATGCTGCGGTTCCTTCTCCTCTAGCCTGTCAGGATTTGGGGCACACACATACAGGCAACTGGCGTGTTTGCCAGTCACCGGATCCAGGACTCGAACTGTGCAGTGCGGCATGGGCGAGCCAGTGCCCTGCTTACCATGCCACCTGCTGGCTGTCTTTTTAAAAGTCTATTCCTTCTGGGACCAGCGAGTGGTATGATGGTGACACTGTTAGACTCCCACCTGGCTGACCGCGGTTTGAGTCCTGGACCCGGCAGCTTGAAACTCACGCCGGGCGTGTGTGTGTGTGCGTGCCCCAAATCCCAGGAGGAGCACAGAGGAGAAGGGATTGCGGCATGGCCAGCCCCACTAGGGGTGTGATTTCTCACTTTCTGTCTCTCTGTCTCTGTCTCTCTTCTGCAAGTGCACACAACCAATGGTAAAAACTAAAAACAAAGAGAAGAAGAAGCAGAAAAAGTACAGGGTAGGATGCCAGTCTTACGGAGAGGGACGAACACAGACGATGCTACGAAAATGATGAAAAGGGAAAAGCCAGCCGGGGAGAGAGCTCTGAGCGGCGGCCACCGGCAGCCTCACTGCGGCCCCCGGAGACGGCCTGACCCCGTCCCAGCCCGGACACCGACCGGCCGGTCAGCAGCTGGGGCCGTCCCGCTGCACAGCGCGAGGGTTGAAGCCTCGGTTGACCCACGGGGTTCCAGTGCTCACTCACCAATGGGTTTCGAATGTAGGGTTCCACGTTCTAGAAAAAAACGAGACCAAAATAGAAAGCCTGTTATTTTCCGTGTCCAAGGGTTTGCATCAGTTTTTTAATTTCTAGAGGGCACGTTTGCCTGCTAGAGAGAGACAGAGACAGAGAAAAGACCCCACAGTGGGGCATGGTCATGACCCAACCCTCTGCATTTCTGCATCCTGCCGGGATTTTTAAAAACATCATTGTTTATTTATTACATTTTATTTGTTATTATTATTATTATTTTTGGAGAGGTTTTTGCTATAGGGTGCGTGCACTTGCCAGACAGACAGAGAGAGACAGAGAGACAGAAAGCGAGAAATCACCCCCCAGGGGGGATGGCCATGCCGCAATCCCTTCTCCTCCACTCTCCTCTCGGGATCTTGGGCACGCACACACACGCGCCCGGTGTGAGTTTAAGCCACCAGGTCCGGAATTTGAACTGTGGCCGCCTACGTGGGAGTCCAGCGACATAGCCATTACGCTAACTGCTGGTCCCAGCGGGGGTTTATTTCATGCTATCGGGACTGGGATTCAAATGGCGGTTAGCCACATGGGATGGAAGTCCTTCAACCAGCAGGCCACACACGCGTCCGGCCCTCATCGTAGTCTTTCTTTGGACATAACCAGGACACCAGCCGCCTCTGAGACAGGAGGGCATGGTTAGTCCATTTCTCCGGAGGACAGAGAGACGGGACCTGCCAGACATGAAGGGGGACTCTTCCTGGGTGTCCCTTCCTCGCCCTGTGTCCCAGCTGGTGACAGATCAGGACCCAGTGCTCATCCTCTCTGGCTGCCACCAACCCAGACGCCTTCACTGTCACCTCCTCCAGGAAGCCCTCCTGCCAGCCACAGGGCATCTGCTCCGCAGTCCCGGGACCCCACACCATCCCCTTTCCTGACCCTGTGCCTCGCACCCAGGTTCACTCGGCCCGTCTGTGGGGGACACTGACCTGCCGCTGGATGTCCAGCTGGTACTGGAAATCCCACGGGGACAGTCTCTGCTTGGTCCGGGGCTGCCTCCAGCCGACGAGGCAGTCCGAGGCGTTGCAGTGGACGGTGACGTTGGCCGGGGGGCTGTGCCGCTCTGCAACGAGACCCCAGGACACGCTTGGCACCCGGGGGACCCACGCGCCTGCCCCGACTTGTCTAGCGGGTGGCGAGGCTGGCCCTGCCCACCGGCGCCGGGCGGCCCCGCATGCAGCTCCCACCACGAGGGGACAGACACACGTGGGGCCCGGGAGCCCCGGGGCAGGGCGCGGCTGGGGCTGTCGCAGGACGCGGAACCTGAAGGGGACAGGGCGGCCGATGGGGGTTTCCCCGGGGTGGGCTGAGGCTCAGCTTTGGAAGAGAAGACAAGGGACCAGCGGATGGCATAATGGCTACGTC